CAGTTGCCAATCTTATCAGAATTAGACTTCTCGTTCACAGTAACTTGAAGCCAAAACTCACAAGTTGCTTTAAATGATATTGCACGGCCTCACCCCTAAAGTTCAAAGAGTTGTTAGTACTTAGCACTGACCGAACACATTTGTGTCACTTACTGTATAAATAAGAAAAGCATATTCTCCATTGAATCAGGACAGTTTATAGAAGGTTACAGCAATCTTGACTTATTTTATTTCATTGCCAGTACAGACATACAGGTCTTTCTCAAAAAATTAGCATATTGTGATAAAGGTCATTATTTTCCATAATGTAATGATAAAAATGAAACTTTCATATATTTCAGATTCATTGCACACCAACTGAAATATTTCAGGTCTTTAATTGTTTTAATGTAGTGAACTAGGCCTCAGGTCAAATCTGGCCTTGAGGGGCCTTCCTGGAACAAGAACTGTATTTCATTGATTTGAGTCCAGAAACACAAAATCAAGTCCATCCAGAAGACTTTTTAAGTGTCCTGCACTGATCAATTGAAAGAACACTCTCTTTTCTATTATCATTACTATTTTACAAATGTTTTGATAATCAAATTGTTTTTAGTTCAAACCATTTCCAAATGTTGAAGTGAACTACTCATTTTAAATCAACTGTGAAACAGTAATAATGATTGTTAATCCTCATTCAAAGTAGAAATCAGGTTAATGATGCATTGTCTGATTTTCTGTCTTCAATGAGCAAGTTGTGTAAGTTGGTCAAAGTTCAAGTTTCGGTCAACTGCAAGTTTACTGAAAAAGAAATGTCATGTTTAAGTTTTTCAGGCAGATATGAGAGAATTGACTCCACGAAGTCTGAGTTCTTCATAACAATCTTCTGTCTGTTCTTAAACACTTAATCTTTTTCCTTGACTTTTTAATAACACCTTACATCACAAAAACACACCTCTGTTTGGTCCAACCGACCAATCAGAAAGTCCTCAAATGAACCGGAAGTGACCTTTTTTAAAAGGTGCAACACTTCCTAGTTCAGAGGGGTTCCAGCTCCAGTCGAGTTCTGGAGAGCTCAGTAGTTCTGAGAAGTTCTCGGCAGTTCTAGGAAGAACGCTGAGGAGAACGCTGAGAGAATGCTGTGAGTTGGTTCCGAGAGCAGCAGAGTCCAGAATGCTCAGGACATCTGCGACTAAGCTGAACAAGAGAAGTTCAGAGGAATTATGAAGAAGTCTGTTCTAGGATGACCTCACGACTCCTGAGGTTTAGCTGTTCTTACGGAGACGCTGGAAGAGTTGAAAGGAAAGCTCTACACCAATGCCGAAACTATCATCTGCAAAGGTAAAGAGTCGATCTCAACCAAAGTGTACCGTTGGTTAAGCTGGTCCAAAGGAGCGTGTTGTTCTGGTATAACAGACAAATTCCCTCACCCATCTCTCTCAAGATAAACTTCATTTTCCATCTTTAAAATTCTTCTATCCTGCTAGAAATCATTCCAGATATTTTTAGAAATGTCTGTTGTGAAGGTTTTCAACCATCGCCGTATGGTTAATCAAATTGTACAGCTGGAAGCAAGGGAAATCATGGCCGGATGGTTTTCCTAATTGTAAACTCGCTAATTAAGCCATGTTGTTATTTTCATTTAGCCAAATTAATGTAAATGTGTGATGTTAAACTTGATTCTGTAAATAAATGACCACGTTCATTTTGATGGGTCAAAGAAAATTAACGTCTCACGTTACGTTTTTAATAATTCAATGCACGACATTATTCAGTCCAGAAAAATGAAAGAATCCGTTTAATTTATGAATATATATCAGCATATGTTCATCTACATTAATACTGATGATTATGGCATACAGCTCATGAAAACCCAAAATGCCTGTCCCAAAAAATTAGCATGTCATGAAAAGTTTCTCTAAAGCAGCTGTTAACCTAACCATCTGAATCAACGACGTAACTCTAAACACCTGCAAAAGATTTCTGAGGCTTTTAAAAACTCCCAGCCTTGTTCATTACTCAAAACCGCAATCATGGGTAAGACTGCCGACCTGACTGCTGTCCAGAAGGCCATCATTGACACCCTCAAGCAAGAGGGTAAGACACAGAAAGAAATTGCTGAACGAATAGGCTGTTCCCAGAGTGCTGTATCAAGGCACCTCTGTGGGAAGTCTGTGGGAAGGGAAAAGTGTGGCAGAAAACGCTGCACAATGAGAAGAGGTGACCGGACCCTGAGGAGGATTGTGGAGAAGGGCCGATTCCAGACCTTGGGGGACCTGCGGAAGCAGTGGACTGAGTCTGGAGTAGAAACATCCAGAGCCACCGTGCACAGGCGTGTGCAGGAAATGGGCTACAGGTGCTGCATTCCCCAGGTCAAGCCACTTTTGAACCAGAAACAGCGGCAGAAGCGCCTGACCTGGGCTACAGAGAAGCAGCACTGGACTGTTGCTCAGTGGTCCAAAGTACTTTTTTCGGATGAAAGCAAATTCGGAAATCAAGGTGCCAGAGTCTGGAGGAAGACTGGGGAGAAGGAAATGCCAAAATGCCAGAAGTCCAGTGTGAAGCACCCACAGTCAGTGATGGTCTGGGGTGCCATGTCTGCTGCTGGTGTTGGTCCACTGTGTTTTATCAAGGGCAGGGTCAATGCAGCTAGCTATCAGGAGATTTTGGAGCACTTCATGCTTCCATCTGCTGAAAAGCTTTATGGAGATGAAGATTTCATTTTTCAGCATGACCTGGCACCTGCTCACAGTGCCAAAACCACTGGTAAATGGTTTGCTGACCATGGTATTACTGTGCTCAATTGGCCTGCCAACTCTCCTGACCCGAACCCCATAGAGAACCTGTGGGATATTGTGAAGAGAAAGTTGAGAGACGCAAGACCCAACACTCTGGATGAGCTTAAGGCCGCTATCGAAGCATCCTGGGCCTCCATAACACCTCAGCAGTGCCACAGGCTGATTGCCTCCATGCCACGCCGCATTGAAGCAGTCATTCATGCAAAAGGATTCCCGAACAAATATTGAGTGCATAACTGAACATGATTATTTGAAGGTTGGCGTTTTTTGTATTAAAAACACTTGTCTTTCATTGGTGGGATGAAATATGCAAATTTTTTGGGGCAGGCATTTTTTGTTTTCATGAGCTGTATGCCATAATCATCAGTATTAAAACAATTAAAGACCTGAAATATTTCAGTTGGTGTGCAATGAATCTGAAATATATGAAAATTTTATTTTTATCATTACATTATGGAAAATAATGATCTTTATCACAATATGCTAATTTTTTTTAGAAGGACCTGTATATCTCTACTTTGGTCTCATCTGTTTGAAGACTGTTCAAAAAGTCTTGTTCACTGCCATGATCATCTGTATCTCCTGGTAAGCCATTTTTGATCAAAGTTATCATGACAGCTTATGTCACGAGCTCTCAATTATTGGTTTCTCAGATCACACTGTTGGTTGTTTTCTAACTATATCTCAGGTCGGAGGCAACGTGTTTGACATAATGGTACTTCGTTTAGCTATTCAACGGCCATTAATGGTGTGCTACAAGGCTCAGTTTTAGGACCCACTCTTTTTAGTTATATAAGTAATGTAGGTCAAAACATTCCTGATGCCTCTTTGCATCTCTATGCTGATGTATTATTATGTAATTGTTTATTGTCGAGCTAACACAGTTGCCAAGGTTTTCCAGCTTCTACAGTCTGCATTTGACATCATTCAGTCAGACTTATTCCATCTTAAACTGGTGATAAATGCTGACAAAACCAAAGGGATGTTGTTTTCCCAACAGGAAGTTGTTGTTACTGGTTGTCATTGTATTGTGCTTCCCACAGCCCTTCATGCTCCGTTCCTCGGTGCCTCCTTGTGTTATTCCATTTTGTAAGTTTGCTGCCACGTTAGCCTTTTTGTTTTTTTCTTGTTTAATAAATTAGTTTCTTTATTTTTATCCCTGAGCTCCCCGTGTCTGTCTGCACTTGGGTTCAAAATACTCTGAACATGATGTTTCTGTACCAGACTGTGGGGGAGCTCAGACTCAATTTTGATGGAAACACTGAAAGTGCATTGAATTTCTTAGAAATCTCTACTTTGCTTTATCTTTAATAAATAATTAGAAAACTTCTGAAACTATTCTGAACGTACCAATGTGGTGGCTGCAAACATTTCCATCCATCCATCCATCCATTTTCTTTACCCGCTTATTCCATTTTTGGGTCACGGGGGTCGCTGGTGCCCATGTCCAGCAATCACTGTGCGAGGGGCGGGGTACACCCTGGACGGGTCGCAAGTCCATCACAGGGCCACATAGAGACAAACGAGACAAACAAACATTCACTCTCTCACTCACACCTAGGGACAATTTAGAGCTACCAATCAGCCTAACATGCATGTTTTTGGACTGTGGGAGGAAACCGGAGTACCCGGAGAAAACCCACGCATGCACAGAGAGAACATGCAAACTCCACCCAGAAAGGCCCCTGGACCGGGGTTTGAACCAAGGACCTGCTCGCTGAGAGGCAGCAGCTCTACCAGTTGCGCCACCGTGCTGCTGCAAACATTTCCAACATAACTTAATAATAATCCAAGCTAAGAAAAAATAAGTCAACATTTTAAGGAATTAACTGCATAAGAAATATAAAATAAAACAGATGACAAGAAATGATAAAGCCGCTGCCATGGTCACTATGGGCATCATAAACCTGTGTCTATTACTCCCTGACTGCAAAGTTAATGAGAAACAGGCAGAAACTGGTCTTCTAATCCGTTTAGCTAAAGTCCCGATTTCCTACGCACCACTGCCTGAAGTCATAACACGTTTCCTGATCAAGCTGCACATTTTGGTGTAAAATTAATAAATAAAATGTGTATTTTATTTAAAAGCTGCACAATGATAGACATGACTAAAGTTCTGAAAAGAACAGTAATAAGGGTTAAAGACAGACACTTAATGACACACAGTGTGATATTTCATGTTCATCTGTTTACCAAGGGAGCTAAAACAAGTCTGATTCTTACATCGCAGCATCTTGTCTTCTGCAGCCTGAAGATGGCTCTGAGAGGTGGGACACCATGACGGCAGCCAGCTGGGGACCCAGCACCACCTACACATGCACAGAAAAACTCAACTGCATTAGCAACCTTTTCAATTCAAATTCAAATTCAAAAATACTTTATTAATCCCAGAGGGAAATTGTTGTAACTCATCATCCTGGTTTCATTAAAGAGTTGTTCTAGATGCTGATGGCTGTGGGCAGGAAGGATCTCTTGTAGTGGTCTGTCTTACAATGGATTTGAAGAAGCCTCTGACTGAAGACACTCTGTTGTTGTATGACAGTCTGACGATGACGAGGATGCTGAGGGTTGTCTATAATGTTCTTCATTTTATGAAGAATCCTTCTTTGAACAATCATCTCCAAAGGTTCAAGAGGAGTCCCCAGAACTGAGCCAGCCTTCTTTATGAGCTTGTTGATCTTTTTTAAGTCACTTGCTCTGGTGCTGCTACCCCAGTAGATGATGGCAGAAGAGATAGCACTCTCTACAACAGACTTATAGAAGATATGCAGCATCTTGCTGCAAACGTTGAAGGACTTCAGCTTCCTCAAGAAGTACAGTCTGCTCCGTCACTTCTTGTAGACGCTTCACTGTTGCATTTTCAGTCCAGTCTATTGTCCAGGTGAACTCCAAGGTATTTATACTTCTCCACCACCTCCACTTCTTCTCCCATGATGGAAATGGTGTTGGACCTGTTCCTGTTTCTCCTGAAATCTACAATCATCTCCTTTGTTTTGTTCACATTCAAGATTAGATGATTGTTTCCACACCATGCCACAAAGTGGTCCACCAATTCCCTGTACTCAGCTTCTTGTCCATCTCTGATACACCCGACCACTGCAGAGTCATCTGAACATTTTTGCAGATGACAGGAGTCTGTTTTGTACTGGAAATCTGAGGTGTACAGAGTGAAATGGAATGGTGAGAGTACAGTACCCTGTGGTGCTCCTGAGCTACTGACCACCTGGTTAGACACACAACCCTTCAGTCTCACAAACTGTGGTCTGTTTGTAAATGGTAAATGGACTGTACTTATACAGCGTCTTTCTATCTTATTTCAAGATACTCAAAGCGCTTTACACTACAATCTGTGCCTCATTTACCCGGAGGCCAGTTGAACAGGGGTGGAGGCCTCCGGGTTCAACTGTCCCCCTCTTACAATGCTGTTATTGCTAGTATCACTCAACCCCCTGTGAATAGTAAACAGCCATCAGTGTGCTAATGATCCATTGTTAGGCTGATGGTCCTTCTTGACCATGTGAGCAGCTGGTTTTGGTTGTCAGCAGCAAACTGGTTGATCCACTCTGAGAAGGTGCTATTTAAGAGACTGAGCTGAATACAGCACCTCAGACTGAGGAAGTCTCTCGGATGAGAGATGAAACGTTTCTACATTTTATTTTATTTTTTGCTTTGTTATGTTTTTTGTTTTTTTGAATGTCCAGAGTACCAGATTGAACATTTTTGGATTTTTACTGAAACTTTTTTAGTGTTGGACATTTGTTATGATGCGTAACCATGGCAACAAGGCAGTTTTCTACAGCCAACAGCAGCTGATTAACGCCTCAAAAGCTCAACTAATATCCCAACTACAGCCCCAAATCTCAAATGAGTTGAAAAGGATGTTCTGTGGACGCATTCTCATCTCCCTGCCAGCTGTGCTCGAGCGCCTGACCACTGAGATCCTAGAACTAGCGGGAAACACGGCTCATGACAGCGGAAGGACAGGATCGTCCCTCAGCACCTACAGTTGGCTGTCCGCAGCAATAAGGAGCTCGGCAGACTGCTGGGAGGAGTTCTGCCCGGCGTTTGGGCAGTCCTACAGCCCGGGGGAATCGAGAGGCCAGCCGAGTCTGGGTGGACGGATAGGACAGCATCTGCGGCCAGTTTCTTCGGATCTGCTGTGGGACGGACCTTTACAAGAGATCCTTCCTGCCTACAGCCATCAGTATCTATAACATCTCTTAATGAAATGAGAATAATGAGTTACAACAACAAATAATTTCCCTTTGGGATTAATGTAGTGAACTAAGCCTCAGGTCAAATCTGGCCTTCCTGGGACAAGAACTGTATTTCATTGATTTGAGTCCAGAAACACAAGATTAAGTTCATCCAGAGACTTTCTAAGTGTCCTGCACTGATCAATTGAAAGAACACTCTCTTTTTTTATTATCATTACTATTTTACAAATGTTTGATAATCAAAGTGTGTTTAGTTCAAACCATTTTTAAATGTTGAAGTGAACTAATCATTTTTAATCAACTGTGAAACAGTATTAGTGATTTTTAATCCTCATTCAAAGTAAAAATCAAATTGGAATGTGTTACGGAGTAATTCATGCATTTTCTGATCTTCTGTCTGAAATGAGCAAATTGTGAAGTTGGTCAAAGGTCGAAAACAAGTTGTTGGAACGAACTGTCATGTTTTTAAATCCTCTCAGACGTAATATAGAGAAGCTGGCACCTGTTTTCCCCCAACTCGTCCAAACATTTCTCTCGTCTGTCTCTGATATAGAAATTATTATTTTAATGCTTTTATGTCAATCTAGACCTATATTACACTTATTTAAACACACTTATACAACGTGTTATTCACATATTAGGGATTGTATTTTGTATTATGTTTTCAAACATATACTTTGTGTGTGTGTGTGTGTTGCTTATAATATTTAGACACTCTTTGATGGTTTGCAGAAGGGACGAGGGGTGCTCTTTAGGAATGCTTTAATAAGCATTAGGAGTGCTCTTGACCTGGAAGCTTTGGCCCGCTTTTACGGTCACAGGCGCTCCTTACTGGAAGGATGAGCCATCGCTTTTGATGATGGTTTAATTAGATCCGTTGTTCTGGTAACCATCAAACTTGTTTTGATCTGCTCTCACGCGATCAGGGAAGCCTTTATAAGAAATGTATCAGACACAGAGGGTTAGAAGTCTTGCTCTGGACCAGCGCGCGGGTGCCAGGCAGTGTGATTGAGTTCTGTCATCGGATCGAAAGGCTTCCCGATCATTTTGTCACGGTGAGAGATACTCATATCAATTTGTGTGTTAAGAGTGTACATGACTCTTTTGCTTGGCTGTTTTTCTTGTGGCAGATTAATAAATGACAAATATTATTCTAGCAAGTTACAGTCTGTGTGTCATTTTTTCCATCGTCTGAATATCTGTGCCGACCGTTTCACGAGCCCTTTTGATAAAGAATTTCACAATACA